AGCGATGTCCTAACTAGTCGTCTTGAGATAACTGGGCCACGTGCCAACAGTTATGTCGTCACTACCTCAGTAAGCGTACTGAAAGGTAGGTCTGGCCGGGCCAATGCCAACGGTCAAGTCAAGAGTCCAGGTAATCGCTGTATTCAACAGGAGGTTGAACTAAGGAATACATGGGTTTTCCTACAGTATATATAGTAACTGGTATAGGGGTTAATACCCAAAGAAGAGAACAATAAGAAAGGACGCGTAAGCCATCCTGTGAGAACGTAACTCAGAGAAATGAGAAATACAAGGGCGCCCATTGGTAGAAGGTGAGTCAAGGAAGATAACGTGTGAGAAGAAGATAGCGTCCATGGGAAGGTCTACTCGGAGAAAGGTACTGTCCAATAGCAATGCTCGGAATGGAAATGGAATGAGATAAGCATGGGAAAATCATAACATACCAATCCAGGAGTATTCAGGCTGTCAATTATGGAGCAGATATCCTACCACCCTGGTACTTGGCACACATAATCTACAGTATGGTACAGACATGTCTAAAACTAGCTGGATCCGTGCACCTAGCCGGGACCGAATGCCGAATGGGAAGCTTGCTACTCCTCCGAGTCCTAAGGAGTGATCTTCTTGTACATGCTCTCGAAAATCAAATACATTCTATAAATTTATGATAGGTATTGTGAATATGTGCATATATGTCCCTCTTTGAGTTCAAAAACTCATAAATTCCGATTCCCCTAGAATTCCGATTCCCCTAGAATCGGTTTACTGTTCAGTCGTTGTATAGGGCTCTCTGGTGATCGAAAATTGCCAGCGTTGAACAGGGGGTATACCCCTTATAGCCCAAATTACCTTAACTGTAACGGGAGCACCCTCCTTAAATGGAAGGTCCACCGATCCAAATCTTACCACCATCAGCAAATAGGAGCTATTACCTCTCATGTCAATAATTACCGTTTGTGAATAGGGACTAATTCCAGATATGTAGTGTGGTCTCTGCACGGCATGATCCTTTCAAGATCTCAGGCCAATGGCACTGTCAGGCATCCCCCGGCTGTGTGTGGAATTGCGCCGATGGCAAGTACCCTGCTGCCTACGGCACAAGATTGGTAAGTTACATACGACGCATAGTACTGGCAGCATTAATATTGAGGCCTCAGCCTGACGACATGCATCTCAGCTACAGTATGCATGTGCACTGACTCAGTGACTCGATAGTAATGCTACCTGAGTGTAGTACTGAAGTAAATAGTGTATTGTGTATTGAAATAAATGTACTTGACACCGAGTATAGGATGATTGAAGGTTCTAGCCACACACAGTTATGTTTGAGATCAACATATAATAACTAGGAGTATTCTTGATGCCGCGCAGCGCCCGGGAGGCTAGAAAGACTATTTACCTACTTGTAGAACCTTTGCCACTCGTTTACCTTATGAGGAATCGGACCTGGCGTGCCGCGCAGCGCCGAATACTTTCCAAGTGTGTTCTGTTACTGCGTTACGAGTGGGCAGCCCTCAAGCTCTGGCCGAGCATTGGCGCTCACGCGGTGAGAACTCATTTGTCGCGTGACGTCACGCTTGCTCGACGCGTCGTCGGGTACAGCTCGGGGATATCGATCATTCAGTACACGACAGAAAATCAACCGCTAACCGGTTGGGTCTATGAGTACAGTGTCAGACTGAGTATACTGCAGAGAGTCACTTGGCATATCTATTATGAGTTTAGACGCTGCATCTGATTTTCGAGAGCATGTACAAGAAGATCACTCCTTAGGACTCGGAGGAGTAGCAAGCTTCCCATTCGGCATTCGGTCCCGGCTAGGTGCACGGATCCAGCTAGTTTTAGACATGTCTGTACCATACTGTAGATTATGTGTGCCAAGTACCAGGGTGGTAGGATATCTGCTCCATTATTGACAGCCTGAATACTCCTGGATTGGTACATCTTTGCTACCCCTCCTGTAGACAACACCCCTGCACCAAATTTTGTCATTCTTTAAATGCCATATTTCTTCTCTATATCACAAACCCCTATATACAGATCCAAAGCACCATCCGAGCCCGAATGCGGCTGCTACAGATTTTTCTTGCGCGAAGGCCATTTGGCGCGCGAAAAGTCACGCCGCGCCTTACATTCGGAAAACGGGATCTCTGGATAACTCCACATCGGGATGACGCAGGCAAGAGATTCAGGCGAACGTAGTCAGCTCCAGGAAGTCGATCCTCACACGCGCGCGGGGTAAAGCTTGTGGAGGATTATCAGATCCTCGAGTAGTTCCCCGTTTCGAGGAGCTGTCTGGATATCGGTCATAGACAGTCTCCCGGACGGATATCATGAGACGATTCACGAGCACGACGGGGATGATGTTCCGGAATCCAGTGGCAAGCTGATCTAGTGTTATCTGAAAACGTTTCATGAAATATTATAAGCGAAGAAGAAGGCTCCGGTACGCACCCGATTAATAAGGTACAGTGTTTGATGGAGGGTGTGCACCGCAAAGACTCTGGCCGCAGGAATAAAAGAAGCTACTCACGTGGGTAACAGGAGTCGGACGCGGACATACATAACAAAGTATGCCACTGATTCCCGTGCTAATTTGACAAAGAGTGGATTGGTGGTCCGGTCTTGATGATGCTGCCACGCTTTATACAAGACCAAGCCGAGTATCACGCATTCGATGAAGAGCATCGCCGCGTCGAACAAACCCGGCGAGGGTTTGCGGGGCAGAGCTCCATCGGCGCACATGTATAGCCCCGGCACCGGATTGTTTGTATTATTTGTGGGATCTTCATCTGTATGTTTGTTAGTGAGCGTCAGATTCTCCTAGGAACGGGCTTACAGTGCATCCTCAACAGCAGCACCGCGAGCCACCAGGCAATCTCTACGCTGGTTAACACGAGGAAAAGTCCTAGGATGGCTCTGCTATTTCCGTACATTGCATAAACGCGCATTTGCATCTCAGCTGACCCGAGCTTAAGCGGCATGTATACGAGCCATGGAATATGAACTGCATTACCCTGCGTGCTTATGATTAGAAGGGCTTCTCCGAAATCGTCGATAGTGCGGTATGTGGAACCTGCCCAAATTATAGCTTAGCGGTACACCTTGAGTTATCGAATCACCTTACATCTGGAAGGGGAGACAAACGCGACGTGTGTGAGCGATGGTCAGAGCGTCAGATCTTCCTATGAGCGTACAGCTGTGGCGAGAGAGAAGTCGAGTTAGTGGAGGTGGTACCTTATATGTTGGACTTTCTTGTAAATATGCTGAAAGCCACAATGAGGACCAAGCTTGGGGCAAGGATTATTTGGCAAATAACTACTTACATACAGACACTACGGTCAGCCGGATTGATGTGGATAGAGAATATCATATGCCGACTGTACTGACATAGAGTACAGAAGACTGTAATAACGATTCTGAAATTGGAAGTACATTGTTAACCCATGCATGGTCCGGAATTTCTTTCATTCTTACCCATAGAAATAGGAATTTTCCGGCAGACCGTTTGCTATGCTACCGCAATAACGAATGTCAAAGGGAGACGTTATACGTAGTAGGGAGTACCAAATAATCACCCAGAAAAGCCGGATCTGTGAAAGCTTAGTACATACGCATCCTAGGAAAATGCATGCTCACGCAACGTACCTCGGCAGCCAATTGCAGAACTACAGTTCGACGTAGTTGTAAGCACTGGTGAAGGATCGATATAAGTATGGATAACCTCACAGTATTCATGCACTAAGAGGGCCACCGTAGCCACTACCAGTTACGAAGCCCAGTTAGCCTAAGAGAATCTTGGACGGGATAGGCAGGCATACCGAAACAGTATATCTCCCAGCGAGCTTGGTCGAAGGCTTCCAAGTCCACCTCCATTCTAAGTGGGAAGTAGCTAGGAATGTAGGTTGGATAAGTTGTCCATTCGTACTCGGCCTCGCAGGTGTTGAAGTAGAGCAGATCTATAGATCATCTACCTGTTGGACGGATACATCAGTCATGTGTGTGTATACTCTTCAGTCTGTGTCCTAAACAGTATTTGATGCCGAGCTGGACTGATGCATTTGTGAGATGGACTGGGACCCCCGGTGAGAACCCATCGTTAGTAGTCTTGGCTATTTTGAGGCTTTTGGCCCCGTGAAGCATGAGAGTTGGCGGTGTGACATGTCGGATCCTCAGGCTCTGCCTTGGAGACATCCTCCGTCCTAGCGCCCTGAAAAAACATTGATACTGTAGTAGTACTGCAGGGGACACGGAAGTACCACCTACTAGCTGAGCGTGTCTGCGATGACATCCAACTGCCACTAAGACTAGCACATGTATCCCAGGAAGGGATCCGGACTTTCAAACTCGTGCAACATCAGTCTCAGTACTTATTGATTATCGGTGCTGCAGCTGATACTGAGGTATGGAATGGAATTTGAACTGACTGTCACAAGTCCCGACCATGCATATGATCATCAGGCCACATAGTACTGCGCCCACTTTTAGACATCTATTACAGCAATTCGTATGATTGGTCTAATTAGTATTGACAGTTTTGGGCTGGCGCACCGTTGCTATTCCGATTCGAATCCGATATCTACCGAGTCCCACATATCCTGCTGTACTCAGGAAAGTCCTCGCCTTGGTGGCAACTCGGAAGGACGCGTACGCACAAGCGTCCGAGTCAGTCCATGCGTGTTGATCTTATTAGTAGCCAGGCTCTAGTGACTCGCGGCGAAGTAAGTACTGTATGAGAGCTCCAGGTGCACGACTGTCCATCTACCCGGGATTCTCAACGGTTCCGCCCGTCCATGGCAGCATTCTTTGATCTTGACGCATTCGTAAAGCTGGTCAATTATGTGCAATTGTAGACAGTGCATCGAGACTGTTACTACGGTGTACAGGCAGTTGTGGCCGTCTCGTGCCTCACAAGCGGCATCACCACTTCGCATAAGGTAGGAATTTGCCACTGGGGGAATATCAGGCTACCATCACCACAGCTTCACATCGAACTATACTCACTCGAACGTCAGAACTACGCGGTCACCCTTCGGATCGGGCTTCTTCGTAATGTTGACTTTACAGTCGATCATCGACATAATGCCGTCGCCGAACTAACGCAAAGCAAGCGTAAGTTAGGACAAATAACACAAGGGTAATAGAGTGGTGGACAGCGCACCTTTTCATGAATCACAGCCTAGGTACAGGACCATGGTCAAACCAAAGTCGACAAGACCCATAGGAATGCGCTAGACTCGTACCTTAATAGCATGCCCGTACACCATCACGCCCTACATTCCGTCGAAATTGAGGACCCGCGATTCAAAATACACTCTGCATGTAACGACACACCTCAAACAATCGGTACAATACTGGGTCCCTGGGCGGGATCTCGCCCATCCCCGCACGGTTCGGCCACCAATTCTCCCCGATCTCTGCCTGAACGTTCGCCACAGGGAGGTCGAGGGTCTTCGCGAGGCCTTCGAGGTCCTCTGGCGACAGCTTCGCCTATGACACGGACGCAAGGTAAGCGCTCCCGCAGTCAATCGGGGATCCTTCGAGACAGACAGACCTGGGCGTAGAACACCGCTGCAACCCACATCTCATCCTTGCCTATGGCCTTGCCGATCTGGTCAAACGTCAAGCCTGCTCACAATAAAATACCCATGTCAGCTCGCGTCACGCTGGCAGCAGTCAGTCGCGAATGGATGAGTGCTCGCCTTTGGCCGCCTTCGCCTCAAACAGACGCGCGCAAATCGGGGGCAGCTCCGAGTACGGAGACACGCTCGAGGCGACTTTCTACGCTCACTCAGCGGTGCTGTCTGCAGGACCAGGGACTCAAGTTGCGACTCACAAATGCTTGGGCCATCGCGGTACTTGCTGGGGCGCGAGTAGTTAAGAGCAAAGCACCCGATGACGGTCGACTTATATATGCAGCGGGTACGCACGAGCAGACATGAGAGATTCGCTCGGAAGGGGAAAGCCTGACGAATTAATGGTATTCTTATCTACGACACGTGACAGAGGTGGGAGATCCGCTAGAACAGTTGACCCTAAGAGATGCTGCCCTTCCCATGTAACGCATGCAGACGAGAATGACCAGAGTGGTGCATGGCTGAGGTGTCCGGGTCAGGAGTGGCAGGCCAGGAGCGCGGAGCCAGGAGACAATTACCGGCATTCCCGAACGCGGAGATACTGAGAAGATGAGGCTTAGTGCAGAAGAGGGCCCTGAAGACCTTGTGTGTGGAAACGCACGGACGCCGTTCTTAACCGTGTACCGTGACGAACTTGAAGTCCGAACAAAGAGATGGCGGGGTTACGAGTACCGGGCGAACTCAGCCTTTCTCAAAGAAGTTAGTCACGCCTTGGAGCCGCTTCCCTCTTCGCCATCCGGGACTACATTCGGATTCCAAACATTCTTCGTCGCGTGCATTAACTCGTACAACTGCCCAAGTTGCTCCGCGGACATCTGAAGCAGGTATCTTCCAGCAAAGACGACAGGATACAAGTAAAGTATTGCACACCTTTTCCATGAGTTGCGGGTCAAGCTTTTTCCCCGAGAAATTCTGTGCATCCGTCCCACTAGGTAACTCGTCGAGGTATATCTTCCACTGCGACAAGAAGCCGATGATGTGCACTGGGTTCGTTACACTTCTATGCCGGCGGAACTCTAAGATCATAGGCAGCGTATAGGCAGACATGGATGCTTATAATTACGTGCTCTTACCTGCCTTGACGTAGTCGTCACCAAGGGATCGCATTTCGAGAGGCAGAGCACGGTGTGCCCTCAGAAGACGTCGATACAGACTAGGGTCCTGAAATGTCAGAAGGAGAGCACGAAATGAGCGAGACAGCGCACGGAATAGGTGGCAAGAGGGATGCGCCAGCTTCACGAATATTCAGCGGCCTCTTCGTAACAGACTCGGCGAGTCTCACAACCGTCGGCCTCATGATGCGGATAGAATGAGACGCCGAGCAAAAGTAGACGTTAAAAAGCACGTCCTTTGAGCCTCTAAGATCTCCAGCCTTTCAGTGCACCAGTCTGGCCAGTTGAAGAACGAAAAAGCAGAGCCAGGATGCAAGAGACGGACTCGGGAGTTGAGGGTGTGGCGTAGCTAACCGCGTTGTTGTGCTTTGTTTACCAGGGGCCTTGGTTCCTAACAAGCCACATACCGTTCAGCCACATATCCCTGCATACGGACAACCACTACCGCTGTTATTCCTTTCTCGTGTTCTCTTACGCCAGTGCATTCAACTTGCATATCATAAGACGCTACCTAAAAAGAAGAATACCAAAAAATGGCTCCAAAAGAGCTTACGCGCCAGCAAGTGTCCTCCCGCCTCACGTACCAGGGCCACACCCCCTCCTTCCTTCAGAAATTCAAGAATCGCATGGAAGGTATCCCAGACGACGACGACGACCCATACGAGGAATTTGAATATGACGGCTCCGGCCGCCCGCCGATACCCAAGCGCCCGCCCATCCCGCAGCGCCCGCCAGACAACCCCGGGAGCGCGGACGAGCTCGACAAGCTCGACGAGGAGGACGCGGATGACGAGAGGCCGCAGGTGGTGGTGCTGAAGGAGGGGAGGCATCTCACGGAAAGGGAGGCGGAGAATGAGCGGCGGAGAGGTGTGTTGTTCATTATACGTCCAAGATGTCGGCTGAGATGCGCTCGTATTAGTGAAGGGTCTGTCTCCGGTTGAGGACTCCTTCGAAGCTCTCGCTCAAGAAGTTAAGGGAGGCAAGGGCGTGGAGTCTCGCGCCAGGCCCGACGAGCCACATACCAATTCATCCGCGAAGCCTGCTGAGGACAAGTCCGGTGGTCTCTCGTTCTCCTCGTCGAGATCTGCATCGAAAGCAGGGAAACGGAAAGCGATTGGCGACCTGAGAGACGAGGCGAAGCAGGCGGGGTCGTCAGTCCCTCCACCTGGTAAGGGGACCAAGAAGAAGGCGAAGAAACCGGAGAAGAAACCACTGTCCTTTGGCGACGATGCTTAGCGCCTGATGCATTCTGAGGACCTGCACTACAGGGCAGATCGTCTTTGCAGCGCTTCGGTGCATCAGTACTTCAGCACTGGCGCGGCGAGCATCGTTGCCGGTCCTGTACCGATTCTTCGCGTTGCCCTTCGCCATCACCCGTGAAGACGTCGCGTCTGTCCTCCAGCGCAACTGGATGTGGATCCTTTTGAACTCCCGGAAGGGTAACTCTTTGTCGCGGAGCAATCGGCAGGGAAGGAGGGGGACCAGGTCGATGTGCAGAAAGATATCAATACTGCAGCTGCATACAAAGGTAGGTGTCCAACACACCGTGACACTGTATCCATGTCTACACAAAGATCGACAACTCGCAATTACACCGCACACAGCGGGTCTAGTAGTAAGATACATGATAAACAGTGGTCGAATACACAATCCGCACTCTCAAAGTCCTTCGAAGCAATTAGATCAGGGAAAATACCATACAGTTTGAGTCTTCGGTACACTGCTAAATGAAAAAAAAAGATTGTAGAAGTCAAACAGACGTAGATGTCAGTTGAAAACATGCAGCCTCTTCCTCAGTCTATCCACCACACTGCCGTTGCGGCTTAGCCGCAGGGACGACGTCCGCCCGCGCTCCGTCAGCGACGCAGACACATCGTCTCTCGCCGAGTAAGGCGAGTAAGGCGAAGACATCGCTGTTGCCGACGCCAATGGATCTCTAGAGCTCTCAGGCGACGTCGCTTGCCCGAACAACGTCTCTTGACTCCGACTCTCCTCCGCGGGACTGCTCCCCAGCCGGAACAGCGAGCTAATGCTGGACTTTGTTCGCGAGCGATAAGACCGCGCGGACCCGCGCGAGCGCATACTCGCCGCAACAGGCGGCGGCGACAGCATCGCCGAGTTGGGCGACTCGGGGATCGCGTAGAGTAGCCCGGGGCTGAGCGGCAACGGGTGCGACTGTGAGCGCCGGCGGGTGTTTATCGGAGTGTTGATGTGGACGTGGAGTTCTGGCGGTCTGTGAGACGAGGCCGAGGAGAACGAGAAAGGCGCAGCCCAGCGGCTGAGAGAGAACGCGGTCGTGCGCCGCCGTGCGTGGCCCAGCGGGGGCGTTTGTGGAGTGGATGGCTGGGATGGGGGAGGATCTTCTGCTGGAGATGATGGGCGTAGAGAATCAGAAGGAGAGAATTGGAACCGGGAATCGGAATAACCAAAGTGATACTGCGGTCTTGCGAATTGCGGCAAAGCGGGGGAGGGTGGTGGGGGGTCAGACGCGAACGTGATGTCCTCGCCGACGAGATCAAACTGGTCTAAAAGATCCCAGACATATTCAGGGATGTCCGCTGGAGAGTTGCTGTCAGACACCTTCATACGGAGACTCGGGGGATCCGTTCCTGCGGAGAGCTTGATTGGTCGTTGGACTAGCGCAGTCCCCCAAAATGTACGCGGATGGTCATCTATAGGAGAGAACGCGGAGTCGCTCGCTGTTGATGCAGTCACAGTACGAGCGCGAGTCGGGGATATCATTTCAGATGACAGCCGATACTTTTCCTCTGTAGTCTTCTGTCTAGGGAACGCAATGATGGAGGTTGTGGATGGTGACGGGAGGTCGGGCAGAGGCCTCAACTTCCAGCAGGCCTTCAAATACGCCCTGGGCGAAGGGGGGCGGAGCCGTTTGGGAGACGATAAATTCTTGGGGGTCCTGACGCGTGTCGTATTGTCGACTCGTATAGGCGTGGGCATTCGGCGACGTGATGCATAAACCTTCGTCGGGGATCGTTCGAAGAACATGGCAAGGTTGGTACGGCGTCTGGAGTCCGGGTTCATTATTGAGAGATCATGTCCGGACTTGTCCATCGCGTCGTTACGAGCGGGAGCATGAGAATTCGTCTTAAGCTCGTGAACCTTCTTCTCCACTAGCTTTTCGTCTCCTTCGAGGCATACGTATCGTCTCTCGATCATCCATCGCTCTTTTTGCATGTCAGCGACAGTTTCCTTATCAAGACTACTCCTGTCTGCTAATTCCGTCCGCAGCTCTTCAATCCTTTGCTTCGTTTCGTGGACCACGGAGTTCATATACGCTGCTGCGCCCTCCAAGGCGCCGACGACGGAGTCATGCGTCGCTCTGTCACAGCGACCTAAGGCGGTCTTGAGTGCATCATAAGAAACCCTGTATCGCTCAGCTCGGCGCGCTCGAAGGAACGTAGAATCAACGCGCTTGGGGGCAGGACGTGCAGGAGGCGGAGGGGAAGCAAAATGATTTGGAACGCCGAAGGTATGGCTTGTATTTGGAGTGCTTAGAAGAGGCAAGCCGGCTCGTCAATGGAAAGCAATACGATCGGGTCGAAATTTTGACTTACTACTGAAAGTCCCTAGGGCTGAGAATATCATTATATCCTGGGTTCTGTTCGGAATCCTTTGGCGAGTGCCGTTAGTGACAGCGATACTGTTGTAGAATACCCGAATAACTTACAGGCCTGTTATATTCTGGTAAGAGGTGCTCAGTCCGGATCCGTAGTCCAGGAGGCCGCAGACATGCCACGTCCTCTGATACCGGATTGAAGGACATCTGATTTTGGATCCCAGGTGGACATATTTGGACGCCGATCATTCACAGTTTTAAGGCTCCAACTCGTTCAGATAAGTGGCAGAGAGAAGCGAACGTGGCTAAACGAGAAAATGAAGGAAGAAGTGCGTCCGGGCACGCGATTGAAGAAAGTTGCAAGGAGTGAATGAGTCCACGGTGCCAGCGTGCCAGAAGGAAAGGAATGAACAGACCAAGGTGGAACGTCGAGACAAACCAGCGAACATATATCGGCCTACGATAGCGACCAGGGCGTCTGTCAACGTGGTGTCAACCAGTTCTGATAGGATATCCTGGGCCCAGAGATCGTTGTGTACAGTGTTGCATCCGTTGCCGGCGGACGTTGCTCTGGAGAAGCCCCTATTTTTCATGCTCCCACGTGACTTCGGCTCGAAAGGCAAATGTGTTTAGTGTCAAGCAAATGTCGAAGCATTGCAAGGAATTGTAGTCCTGAACAGCGACCACAGCCTGAGTCACCTCATAACTTCTTGAGATATAAGAAGTGAGCGGAGCATATTGCCTTGCTGTGTGCAAAAATATGACCGACTCACCGCACCGACATAAACAAACTTACTACTAACCATCTGGCACAAACTTATGGCATGTCGCTTTATCTACCTGTCAGGCGGTCAAGGTACTAACGGTCAGTTGGCGCTGAACTTGCAAAGTGCGCAGTTACATAGAAGAAACGCAGTCAATGACGACGCGTATCGACGTCGACCTGAACCACGAGGTCTAGGGTTCGGAGAGAACGGAGGATGCGACATGGTGGGGGTTAAAGAAAACCTATCGGCTTGCTCTTAAGCCTTCGCACTTTATATGAACTGGCCTCAATGGAACAGAATGTTGACATATGCCAGCGATATTGGTCAGCTGAACATCTACCGTTCTTCCATAATAGGCCGAGTTTGACCAAATCGAGGTGTGGCACAACCCCTGACGATCAAATGCTCACCAACGACGGACGACGCAAAGGCACTATTCGTTAACGTATTATGGGGCGTATCAACCGCTGTGTGATGATTGGCATGAATACAGTCAGACACGGGCACGCCGCTTTCAGAGAAGGGTCTTTCTTTCTTTCTGAGCCCCACGCTCGAGAGGAAAGACTTCTGTTATGATCTCCAAGGTCCAAGACATATGGCACGAATACAACTGGAAGTAAAAGACTGTACAGTAATACTGCAGACAGACAGGCGACTCAATGTGAGTGTTTCCTTCTCATCTCCACCAGAGCAAACTCCCTCTGCTCGACAGTTAATGGATCCAAGTGGCCCAGCCACGGCGGCGTTCTAACCACGCAGAACTTCTCCATTTCCGGAGTCCAAGACTCTTTACCTCCACCGGCCTCCGCACAAATCTTATTCTTGCGAAGGTGAGCACGCAGACTTGAGAACTTGAAACGCTGACCACAACCGGGGCACTCGTAGCGTCTGACGTCAAAATGAGTATCGCGGTGAGCGTTGCATGCGGGAATTGAGGCGCTGATATAGGTGCATCCACCGAACCGACAGACCACGTCCTCCGGGGTCAGTGGTCTCCATGTACGTCCCTGCAGCTGCTGCAAAAGCGATCCCCACCGCTGCGGCTGGTGCTCCCCTGTGGGCAGCTCCCGTTGCTGGGGCGGATACTGTCCCGTGGACAGTTCCTGCTGCCGCAGGAGTCTACCGAGTTCTGCTTTGAAATCCGGTAATTCCATTATTGCCTAAGCATTACATCAGGAGCTGGAGATATTTTGACAGATGTGATCCAGCAAACCTTGTGCTTACCTCGACGGCACGTAAGTCTTCTTCACTCGAAACGCCCGAGACAGAATCCTCGCTTGAATTACCGGTAGCGTCGTTCGAAGGCTGCGAGGGCCAGCCATCTGGAATTTGGCAGCGAACTTCGCTCTGGCTCTCGCTGTTATGGATGTGTGGATATTGGCTCCAGTCTGAGGACTCGGCATTGGTGGCCGGGGCTGTTGGAGCAGGCTGAGGCAATATATAGGTGTTCGTTAGTTGAACGATGACTTCAACAATAGGCCCAGCTTACCAATGAGTCGTGGAAGGCGAAGATGGGCATAGGATAGTTGGTACGGGCCATAATTACTGGTAAAACAAAAGAATATGGAAGAGAACGGGAGTAACTTGAGCGGTGAGGTACGTGGCTCAAAATCAATATAGGAAAGAGTATAGAGTGATAAATGAGACGACACCAGTGCCGACTTGAGCTGAGAGGGAGAGAAATTTAATGGGCAAGAGGACACATCCGGGGGTCAATTTATACGTTCGGTTTGTGGCAAACTAGGGGCCATCCCTGGAGATGCCACCCCCCAAAATCACCAAGCGCACTTCCGCTTGGCCAGCTGTGGCCCGTTTACAGCGCATGTTCTAGTCCTCTCGGACTCAAAATGCTCTTGTTCCGAGATTTACCATCTGAAACAAGCCACACGTGGGAAGGGCATTGGATTGAGTCCTATGTCGTTGTGGCAAGCCATGCAACATTATTTGCCGCCAATCCGCTGCCAATCAGCAGCTGTAACTGATTATGTCATATCTAAGTTGACAAGTTTGGGATGAAATTCGGTCCGCTGTTCTAGAACACATGGAGTTAGAGGGACTAGCACTCAACAGATATGCACTCGAAGAGGGACTATTGAGTGCAAAAACTGATGCACAGAGAATCGGCGCTATCGTTGGACATGTTGGAAAAGGCCCGCACTTACGGACAACCGAGGCAGATGCATAATGGCTCGGAAACCCTGACTATCAAGTGTGAGCTCCAAGTGAAGAAGGAAATACTGAAGGTCGAGTTTCAGACTGCGGGTTCGCTCACTGGCAGGCCACAGCGGTAGGTTATGTGAAAGCCGTCTCGCCTTCTCATTGGCCAACGTTGTAACTCCGATTGGATCCGATTCCTTCCGCTGCTGCACAGTGCTGGCCCGTCGTTCGTCTGGCGTATTCATGGACTGTTCACATATGCAGGTACGTGACCTGACTGTATTACCACCCTCTCACCACCTCCCACGAAATGGAGTAACTGCAATGTGAGGTTTACTGGTCGCAATTACGATCCTAATGATTGCCAAAAATATGGGAAACTTTTAGGATGCAGCAAGACAAAAACTATACATGACAACGTCTGCTACTGGAGAGTCATCAGTGGTCCACTATCACGAAATTGTCCATGTCCGTCGTCCAGTGGTGTTTCGCTCCCTTGCCTTTACGGCACTTGGCTTTGGCTCTCAAGTGCATTTGAAGACTAAGCGGGCGCTTATAGATTCTCTCGCATCCTGGACATTGCCATCGCTTTGAACTTGACGGATCAGGCTCTGTGTCTGGACCAGGGTCCTCATCTGCATGGCCCGACCGCACGCTGTCCTCGAGGACGGTATCCTCGGAGACCATCACCAAGTCCGGGCTTCCGGACTCGCTAGCGTCATGTAGGTGTGTCTGGTCTTGTATTCCGCTAATGCATGCTGTCGTCGGCGTGGGGAGTCTCAGGTCGGAGAGCGCCACATATCTGACGCCCGCCTCAGACGGATATCTTAATTCCGGAATGGCAGCAGCTATATGCTGTTGGGATAACCATGATCAACACACTTGTGCGGAGCGGAAGATTAGCGGGACGTACCAGAGCTGCGGCCCAGTCCTCGGGATTGATACCATCTGGGTTTTGGATACACTGAGCGCCGGTCGGTGTCGTGTTACAAACCAGATGCTGCTCTCCCGGTGCATGGGCGGGTTCTGCAGGGACCTCCGCGCCGACTTCCTGCTGTTCCAAATGCTCGTCCTTCATCTCTCTGGGCAGTGGCTTCAGACAATGTAAGGGTTTTGTGCCGTCTATTCAAGCGGAAATGTGGCGTGGCCAGTAGAGCGGGTCTCTTCGCGTTCAGGATTGCACCGCAAGTCCAGACGGCGGATAGGCAGCACCAGATAAGAGGAAATTCTTGAGCTCCCGAAGGTTCAGCTTCCCTGCACCTTATATCTGGCGCTGTGGCACCGATGTGGCGAGTGGCACTCGTACATTGTGGCACTAGCAAAGCTTTGTGTCCTCGATCATTCCGCAATTCGTAATTATGGTTCTTTGTACTAGGGACGCTTTACTCAGAGGCTACTTTTGTCTCTGACAAGATCGCCAGCATAGGAAAGCTAGTGGCCCGACTACTGGTGTATGGTGTTGTCGACGTCGTTGCTCCGGTGTTTTGCTGCTGTCATGCTGACTCTAATGCGGCAGACGACGGTCAGACCCGTAAGATTGTCGTACGTGGCTGAAATCCAGCGTCCTACGCTGGGATTACGATTGATATCCTTGCACATGAAGCGCGATACATATTACACACAGTCCTCGAAACAAGATAGAATATTTACATGATTCAGAAGCAACCTCAATCAGTGGTCCCTGGCGTCGTTGCATCCAGAATCAAGCAGCCCTTCAGAACTCACTGGCCTTGGCCGAGTTACGCAGGACGGAACGCGTTTGCATATGCCGCTTGAGTTTCATCAAGTCTGCCCACAGGAATATGACCCCGACAGCTGCCAGGACGGGTAAAGCGATGGCCCAGAACCTAGCAGCACACAGTGAGTAGGCGATTGGTGTATTGATTGGCTTCCTGAACGGTGCCTACCATTTATCGCTCGTCGGGGGGTCCGTGTTCTTGGCCCAGAAGACGTTGAAATTCATTCCCTGCGACAGTCAGTTCGCACACTTGCGCAGCCGTCAAATACTGGTAGACGTACGAAATACCCTGTTAGGAAGGTCATGGGCAGCATGGTCACTGTCACCACAGTCAAGCGCTTCCTGCTCAGCAGATTATAGTATGTCATTTAGACGGGAAATGCGGACGGACATAGCCATGTTCATATCTCCAGAAGCCACCTAAAGAATGGAAGGTGAGATGCGAATGTTGACGGTAGGCAAATAAACGTACGTTGAAGGTACAATCGATCAAGTTCTCCGTGACGTTTTCGAACATATCCAGGCTCCCCAGGATATATTCCATGTGATCAAGTACATCCGCCTATCGGTCTATTTTAGCAAGCAGACTGGCATGAAAGGGTGCGGTAGACACGAACCAGGTATGTCTTCGCGGTAGGCGACAGATACCCTTGTACGCCCCGTACCTGGGTGCTTTCGGTCTGCGATGCATCAAGGGAGGCAACGGACCAATCCATATCGTAGCGTCGTAATCTGTACACCAACGACCGTATCGGCGCTAGGGTACGCTTATGGAGGATAAGATCCCCGGAGATGACATGCACTAATGGGAGTATTGTAAGATTCACGCGTTATAATTGAACCGAATAATTCATACGATATCTGACCGTCTTCAGCTTGGGGTTCATCAGAACTTGTCGCTCAAGCTTCAAGATCCTCCCTTGATACTCGTCGACTACCTCCATAGCTCTATCGACAACTAAAGAGACGAGAGCCCGGATGGACGTCAGCACGGGACCTGTATCGCCAAGGGTTGCACGCACTAAGATCCATGATACCTTGGACGAGGACGGAGGCGTCGGCCGTCATTCTGAGGACACTGTCCAGCTCTTGGAGACGTTGGGCTATGGGCTCGGTGAAAGCTATCCCTAAGTCTGGGGAGATGGAGATGACAGTCCCTAATATACCATGGGCGATGAAACGGTATATTGCAGGATATGGGACGGTACGGCTTACCGTCACGCAAGAGGCATATGAACATCGGTTGAATCTTGACGTGCACACCGCCCTTCCTGAGGGCTTTGGTGGCTGCGCGGTATGGGTCCTGACTGCATAAGCACGAGGAAGGTGGCGGATGTCAGGGGACAAAATTTATTACCTCTTGGATGCTTGATCTGCTTCGGTCTCCATTGATTTCCCGGACCTGACTTGAGGCAAGACCCTTGTATTTCCTGTCATTGTTGCCCGCTTGCTGCGTGGGTGATGAAGAAAGAGGCAGGTCGGTTATGTCTTCGGCATCTCGATCGTTGTCAACTGTATGGCGGAGGATGCGGAGGAAAAGGTGTTTTGTATAGTAATCCGCCTTAGAGGCTGCGTTCCCTCGCTGACTAAGGATATCTTCTAGCGCCAGGGGGTGGAGTGCTGAATGCTGTTGAGACCGTGACCCCACTTGTGAGCAAAGAACACCTACAATACTTCACTGCCAGTGTACTCATCACATCCCAGCTGATGCCAGAGACGTTGATCCACCTCACCTTGACCCACGAGTGCCTCGCGGATGCCGCTGGGTCCTTCGCCCAGTCAATGAAAGTGTCATTCGACATCCTGCGCGCTTTGCGGTTGGTCTTGGAATAGTCAGTGACTTCAATTTGGCACTCCTTCCGTACATGCCCATACAGTGCGAAGGCTGTTAGGCTGCGCGGATCGACACCGGGCTCGGCGCCTATGAGGGTGTGGCCTGACATCATGGAAGACGCTCGTCGCATGAGCATCACCTTCCTAACTACTTCGCGGAATCGTTCGCGAGCAGCGCGAGAGCCAGTATCGGGGCATTCGGGAGTCATGGCCGATACGGCTCTCGCCCTGGCACAGTTTAAGATAAGACGTGTGTGCGAATGGAAAGAGCCAGCTCACTTGCGAGGCTCCTCATCCTGAGAAGAGTGCCAGCCTTTTGAATCTAAGCGACTCCAGGACGGTCTCGAGGACATGGTAGTTATAGCTCAGGGTCGCCGCCCTCTCTGCCCCGGTCCGAAGCTGAAACCTGAAGCTAAAAAACTATAACTACAACGTTTAGAGCAGTACAGCTCCTGGGGCTCGCAAGAAACGAGGACGTTGACTGCGGTGGCGCGCGCTATAGCAGGTCGTTCTATTTCAGTCTTCGGTATTTATACACGATTTAAAGATAGAGCAACATCTATTATGGCTGTCCGTACCACCTCCTGTTATAGCCATGACCGAGCGCATCGTGCAAGTATAGGAACAGTCAGTGCTGACTATGAAGAAGGGGTGGCAATTTGGTGGCAACAAATGTCGAGTACAGTACTCGAGTGACTGCTTGAAGTGGTAGTCGGCATTTACCGGAACGGTTCCACTGCAGACTCCCTGTTGTGAAGATGTCACAACCTCAGCACGCTTCGAAGTTCGACTCGGATCGAGCTCAGCGACTCGCCTTCGCTCAGGCAACGCCAGGGCAACGCTCGAGCTTTCCATTCTTCCGTCTGCAAGTAGGGAAACAGAGCGCACGTGATCTGCTGCGAGTGGTCGTGCCTAAACTTACAGATATAAGAAAAATATCAGGCGTGCGTCGAGTATTACCGCTCCGACTCATGTGCGGGGGCTGAAGCTCAAATGCGACATCGTCCAAGCCACAGAATCTACCCCGACTCGTATATAAGGTGTCAATGACATACTAACGAATTGGCTCTATGAACCCCCGTAAGTCTCCCTGTCGAAATCCCGGATAATAAGACCCAGTCGTGAAGAGGGCATCGGAGTGCCGAAGACGCTGGCTTCCTGAAGTGCAAGGTCCTCTTTTAGCTCAACGAAGCTCGTAGCTCTGATAGGGCGCGATTGTCTGGCGGGGATTCTCATCACAAATATCGAGAAACGAAATCGTTTCCCAAAGGCTCTCCGATTCGGACTCCCTCCTTCAAATCCTGAGACGTCCACGTCCCCACTGAAGCCACGCGCACGGGCCAAATGTACCGATATCATTTGCCCACATCCTCTGGCAGTGCGCTTATTCTCGAGACGAGCGCGTCAAGGGAGTACTATAGGGGTCGGTTGGATTTCTTGCGGATCTTGCAGTGATAGCGGGTGAGCTGATTGCACAGTTGTACGCAGGACTCACTACCCAAGGTCGCGGGAATGATGTATCGTACCACACACACATTCTCTCTCTCGCAGAATAGACAAGGATTCAACTGCGACGGTACTGTATCTGGAAGCCTGCTCAACGTACGACACTCGACACTCCAGGCTCCCTTCCATTGTGTTAGTACCAGCAGTTTTTGGCCGGTCGGCCAAGAACCTGGCAGTACCAACACAATGGGACAGCAAAGCAGCCGATGGGTGGAGTTAGGTTTCCCATTTTCCAACACATACTGGGGTAGTATACCGCTTCGCTCGGTATCCGCTTCTATCACCTTCCATCATGCAGCAACGTATCAAATACACGCCTTCTAGCCTACAGTAATTTTCGATCTACAGTTGTGGCACTAGTCTATGGTGCGATGCGATGCGGTGTGGTGCGTGTTTGTATATGATTGTAAATGAAGCAGATGCGGTCCGAGTTTTGTATGCTGAGTAGAGATGAATGCCCCGTGTGTCCCAATTTTGAGTCGCAGCCCGTCCTTCCAAGCCTTTTCACACACCCCGTCCTTCCTAGCCTTTTTACGCACCCCCCTCACCCTTTCCACCACCGCCACCGCCACCATTCCCCTGTTTCCCCTCCCCAGCCCCGCCCTTCTCAACCCGGCTCTCCCAAGCCTCCTCCTCCCTCCTCTTCCTCACCCCCGCCTTCACCATCCTGTGCACGCCAGCAACGCCCGTAACCTCGCGCAGCCGCCACGCGGGGAAGTTGACGAATGATACGTCCCCGCCGAAGATGAATACGTCGTACAGGAGGCAGCCGAGGATCCCGCCCGCAAAGGTGGAGAGGATTGCCTGGGGGGTTGTCAGCGGGGTTGTTTGGGAGGATGGAGGCAAGGAGTTGAAGGAGAGGAGCGAGAGGATAAGAAAGGCGAGGGGGATGGGGGCGGAAGAGACGGTGAGGGGTAAAAACGCACCCCGTTGAGCCACCACCACGAGTCGTGGTGCCACACGACCGCGCCGTAGCCCATGAACCACAGGAATATCCGCGGGCCGAGGTCGCGCGCGGGGTTAATCGCGTATCCCGATATCCAGCCCTATCGCCGTATATTCACGTGAGTGTTTATTCTACACTAGTTAGAAAGAGGAGGAGGCACCTGGGACATGCCGAGCGCGATGATGGTCAACCCGGTAATGAACGCGCCGAGGCCTGCTCCGGGGGGCGCGTTGTTCTAGAGAAAGTGTGTGCTCTCAGAACCTCGCAGGGGACTGTGGAGAGGGGGGACGGACCTCGTCGCCTAGTGCCAGGACTACTACGTGCAAAATCCCTGTCGCGATGACCTCCCTATACAAATCAATCATCAGCACCATCCCATCACCAAACTCCTGAAAACAAAAGAGGCAGGACACGAAAGAAAGCACACGACACCCACTGCAAGCACCCCTGGCGCGCCCCGCCGACCTCCTGCGACGGCATTGTGATGAATAGCGGTGCGCTGGCGTTCGTCCCGTACAGCTTCATCTCTGGGTCGTACTTCTCCAGGGCGACCTTGTAATTCCCGTACAGGATCGCCGCGCCGCAGAACGCCCCGAAGATCTGCGCGAGGATGTAGCGCGGAACCTACGTTCGAGCGAGAAATTTCGGTCAGCAATCAGTAGTATTGGTTGGCTGTATGAGGGAAGGGCTGACCATGCGCCATGGGAACCCGCGGAACATCGCGAGGCAGATCGTAATTACTGGGTTGATGTGGCCTCCGCTGCGAGACGCGATGCACGTCAGCATCTCTGGACGTTCTAAAGCAATCAAGCGGAAAGCCAGACCTAACGCCGCCGGAAATGTAAATAGCCAGCGTTACCGCATACCCCCACGCAAACATCAAATTCGTATAGTTCCCATACGTCCCTTCGGATATCTTCGTCTGGCAAGTGGCACCAATACCAATCAGGATCAGCACGAGCATGCCCAGCCACTCCGCGAACGGCTCGCGCAGCTTCCAGCGTACGTACGCCCAGCGGTTACTCATGTGGTAGCGCCCGTCCTCGAGCATCGGCCCGCCGACCTGGCCCTGCGGCTCGCCGTCTACATTGCCGCTGCGGTGCATGTCGTCGTGCGCCCCGCCGTCGTCGTAGACGGTGGTTGCGCCAGAGGGCGGCGGGGACTCCGCCCGCGTCGAGCCCCTCCGTTGTGTGTGCGCCGCCGGTATCTTCTCCAGCGCGGGCCTGAGATCCGGCGCGGGGCCAGGAAGTGAATTCCTGCGCGCCCCGCCCGCCGACACGGGGATCTCGTCGCGCAGCGTTTCGAGCGGGTTCCCCGGCTCCTGGTCGCGCGGCAGTCGCGGCCCCGGCTCCTGCAGGCGCAGCTGCCCCGTGCGCACGAGGTCGAAGCCCTCGGAGGACGAGCCATGCGGCGCGACCTCGAGCTCCTCGAGGATGGGCGTGCGCGAGGAGGGGTGCGGGCGGTAGAGCTTGCCGTGCCGCGGGCGGTCGGGGAATACGCCTCCGACGCCCCAGATGGTGTTGCGCTGCCTGCGTTCCTGGGGTTACGGTGAGTACGGAAAGTGACAGAGGGAGTGTGCGGAGGGGATGCTCACATCGTCAGGCTGCCCGCCGACCCAGAACCCGCCGAGCCGCTCGGCCGTCTGGGCGAGGTTGACGCTGCCGGGGCGCTTCTCCTTCCACCGGTGGCGCCGCCGGCGGTTGCTGGGCGTGTTGGAGGACGTCGTGCTCCCTGTGTTCGTCCGCCCGACATGGTTGTTCGAAGGGGAGTCTGAGGAATGCGAGTCGCGGGACGCTGGCGGCGTGAAGAGATTCCGCAGGGATGTGCCAGAGCTGGAAGGGGTCGGAGGGGGTGAGAATCCTTCGCGTTGGGATGGCATTGCGTTTGGTTGTAGTCCTCTGGATGAGCTGGACTCGGAGAGTGCTTGAGACGGAGACCTCTGCGCCGCAGGCGAGATGTCAAAGTAGCCCGAAGTCGCCAATGCTAAAGCTGCGTGGGGCGAAGGGTTTAGTTACGTTTACAGAACCTGTCAAGCAGAACAACAGAAAGAAAGCAGCAGCAGCGAAGACAGAAGGTATATGTACTGTACCGTCTGGAGTCGGTGGCGCGGAGAAGGCTCACTTGCCGGCGGTAACTTGAACACTTCGATCAACCTCGACGTCGGTCATATTTCTGTCACCATACGTGTGTGGGGTCAAAAACTGCTCGAACGCCCCGGAAATAGGAGGCGAGCACTCTGCTCGGCGGGCCCTGCGCCGACTCCCACGTCCTCAACGATGACCCGTGAATGTCATAATGAGGCCTCATCGTCTTCCACGCCGCTTCATCGATAGCAGCCCTTCTCTTCCTCCATTCCGCCTTACTTCGAGGGTGCTCTTGTATTAACGCAGGATTGTGGCAAGTGGCAAACATCGAACATAGTCCGCAGCGGTAGAGAAGCTTCGAGGCTCGTTCAGCTGACCGAGACAATTGCATCAAGTGCCCAAATCTTAGATCTTGCGGAATGACGTTGTTGGTCCTCGGTCGACTTCCTGATGGCCGCCGGAAAGCCAGGATATAAGACCGGACCTTCTGCTTTCGTTTATGAAGTCATGAAGTTCTGAATCTGCTCTTCACTACATATGTTGCAATGTTTTCGGTCAGTCTTCTCATTACAGTGCCTTGCATAAGAAACTGAACATCAATTTCCACGCGCGTTGTGTGTCCGCGCCAAATATACCCGTTTCGGGTATCGGCAAATGTGCAGCAAAGACCCATTCGAGAGGGAGGGTAGCTAGGCATACAGCTGGGGATAGAGTATAATGATTAACGGCGCTTATTGTAGTTGTAGAATATACATTTCATGAATTCTTCGCTGAAGCCTTTCGAGCCCTCTCGGGGCGTCTGCGAATCCCTGCCCAGCAAACGGACCCATGAAAGGCCTTCCGGACCTACCTGAAAAGGGTATAAACAAATAATGCGCGCGGAAATGCGATGTTCAATTTCTTATGCAAGGTACTGTAATTCAGCGTCGAGCAATGAGTCAGCCTGAACCTCCGACGCTATAACGATTGGTTGGGGTCAAACTGCTTCTGACTCGTAGACAGGTTTGTAGAGCAAATGAATGTTACTAACTTGTCACCCTCTCACCGCAGGTCTATGCAGAAGGTACGGTCTGAATGGTCCTTCAGCGAATTTATACAAGTCAGGGCAAGACGGGAGGGCGAGACGGTGCAAACGGACAAAGATGAAATTTCTGTACGCCACGGTGTAGGTACAAACAACAGTAAATACTCTTGTGGCGCACCCTGGTGTGGGTTAAAGCATTTTTAAATTCCAGGTGGACAAACAGCGTATGTATTGATAGTTGGGGTATACAAGGAACACATTCAAACGGTGTCCAACACTCTAAACGTATCTATATATCGTCATAAAGTCATAACAAGAGGGACCGCCGGGTATCACCTCAAGGCATCTCCTCCGTAGGCGTCAACTCCCCCTCCCATGGCTCGCTCCAATCATCTCTGAACTTACCCAAATTTGGGCCCCAGGTCTCTCTCGGGCCACTTGCCTTCAAACATCCCTCCCGCGAGAGGATATGTCGCTTGAGCGCATCCGGGCGCCCGAAGAGCGTAGTGCACCCCGCGCAGGCCCACTGGTACGCCTCGGCAAAGTGCGTCCGCCGGTGGCGGTGGCAGTCGGCGACGGTCTTAAACGTCCGCGTGCACGCCGAGACGCGGCAGACGAGCTCGACCGGGTCGACTCTGCTCTGTCTCTTCTTCTTGGGGTGGACGGGCGAGGGATCGGCGGTGGCGCCTGTCCGCTTGCGCGAGCCGGAGGGCCTGCGGAGGGAGTCTCTAGGTCTCGAAGGTCCCGCGCTACGTCGTCCAGCCTGCGCGTCCTCGTCCTCGTCAGCCGGGCAGGCCCGCGCGGATCCGCCGAAAGACGTGTCCACATCGTCCCACTCAACCGGCCCGGGCCCCTTTACCAGCTCCAGATCCCTCAGGCAGACAGTCTGCGGTTGTGGCGGGGGAACGAAGCCCGCCTGGACGAGGTAATCCGGCACCTCCACCCCGCCACACGCGAGCTCCGGGACGAGCTTTGACTTGGGCACATTCGAGTCCGGCGGGCGCGTGTCGTACGCCAGGAAGCGCCGACCGTAAGCCTCGACTGCTACTAGGCGACGGTGGGACGGGGGCGCGGGAGGGATGTCGGGAGAGGCGAGGGACCTGGCAGAGACGACAGAAGGGGAAGGGGAAGGGCATGCGGTACAGTCCGAGGCGGTGTCTGAGCAGTCCGAGCTCACGCCGTCGGAGGATAGCTCTGAGAGTGAGTCCGTCTCGGTGTCTCGTGGTATAGGGCACTGCAATAGAATGAGCTGCGGGGTTGAGGAGCATGGTAAGCGTACTTACGGTGGGCTTATATTCAGCATCCTTGTCTCCTCCACCTAGCGTGGGGATCACGAAGGATACGTGCGCGGGATATTCAAGCCCTGTAACCAAGGAATATAAGTGTCCCTTGACCTCAACCACATGGATAGTGTATACGCACTGAACTCCCTGGCCGATCCACTGCTGCATTCACCGTCATATCCGCTCACTCCCTCCAGACCGCCATACTAAGAGAGTCGAGCTTAGTGAATAGAGTATGTAGATAACTGAGTCTGGTTCACTCACATCGAAGATGTCCAGACGGCCTATGGCGTCCATGAACGTAGATTCCGTGTCATAGAATGACGGCCTATTGTGGGACAAGGAAGGTTGGATAGTTGCAAAGTCTACAGCATCAAATTGTCACTTACCTGGTGATAAAAACGCTGGGGTGTGGCATCATAACACGATTCTGTATGTCAGTGCCGGCACTGCAAGTATCAAGGTACACCAGACGGGTTCGGAGGGAGGGAGGATGGCGCGGAAATCGTCAAGACGGCTAGAGGAAGGAGGGTTGCAGACAGACGTTCTGGGGTCCGTACCTTCTGCTCTGCTAACGACCTCGGGTTTTATCGTGCCACGCACAATGGCGGCCACAGTCGGCCACAGCAGCCAGAACCGTGGAAAATGCCACGCACCGATAAGCTACAGGACACTCGACTAGCCCCAGAACGGACGCGATCCCTTGGCATTTCCTTTGTTCAATGCGCGCGTCCACATGGACCTACGTCCCCAGATACGAAGCGACACGGGCTTTGAGTGCCACAACGAACGAAAGAAGCCCACGCCCGATCGGATCTATGCCACTTGCCACAGCGCTTTGGCTGGATATCGATACGAGTGTAACCGAGTCTCAAGTTCGTGTCCGGTGCATGAATTTGGCGATAACGGCGGTAACCAGCATGGGCGACGCGTCATGCAACGACTGCCACACCACAACTGACTATTGTTCCAGAGCACACGGGACGCGCAAGTTATAGGGTTATGTGGATGCAGTGGACTGCCAGAGGATGTGAGTGAAGAGCAACAGAGAAGCTGGTTATTGTGTTTCAACCAAAGACACAGTCATGTTAGTCTTTGGAGTTGGGAGTCGAAGGCAGGCTGAGCTTGCCGAGCCCTCGGGAGACGGTTTCGACATCCGCAACGGAGGCTCTCCGCAGACAATCGCGCGCCATGCCATGGACGTCGGCTTCTCGGGGCTGAAGAGTGCTTTGCTAGTGCTTTGCGCTGCAGGAATCCAGCGTCTTGGATGCTCCGTCCGTCTTCGCTAGTACTCTGCCTACCGGGATCAGGGGTTTCAACAAGGAGGCTTACAGAAGTTCGGGTATACAGCAATTTTGCTACCACGGCAGTATGCACGGGTCGCACTCGAACCTGGGCCCAGGACAACTTGAGTATTGCCCGGGCCCAAGCGTCCACATGGTAGTGACCCGCCCCAAATTTGCTCGAGTCTACTGGCAAGCTTGTCTTCCCAGTTTGACTTTAGGAAAGGGAAACGCTCGCAAAAGTGCTGTCGCTGAGTACTGAGTCCTGTGCATACATGTCGACGTCGAGCTTCAGCCTGCTTCATGATCAGAGTCGAAGCACGGACGGTTTCGGTAATTGCCGACTGCAGCGCTCGAGTTGCAACCTGTGAGTCTGTGGCCTGCGCCAGCGCCAGCGCCAGCGCCACCACTCTCTCGTAATCAAGTTACTATGGGGTCCTTGTCGGACCCCGACAATTCCAGCTCCTGACGGTTTTTCCTTTATAGTCAGGGTGGCGGAAATCATTCAACTTCACTGGCAGCAGACTAAGTTGACTGGGTTGTTGGGATAATTCTAATCAACAACCCCCCTGGGAGCAACAACCCCTCAGCAACCCATGCCATTATCCAGCAACCCCGGTTGTCCACCAGCAGTCACATGTAACATCATACTCTATCAGTCTGCATTACAATCCGGTTACTTGGACTTCACTCTATGTACATAGCTACATATAAAGATATTAGGCTGAGGCTCTCCCAGCCAAGGCTACTAAGGTTGGGCGTGGGTGCCATTGGCACCACAGTATTCAACCCAGGGGTTGCTCGGGTGTGGGTACGGTGCTTGGACCGTCCACACTGCGCCATACCGCGACCCGCGGCGCCGGGTATACAGGTTTGTGGTTCTCACAGGTGGGTCGCATTTTTCACCTAGAATGGTGATATTTGGACTTACAAAGTGTCCCAGCCCACTTCGAGTCAGTAAGTGTTTCTCGATGCCTCTGTACCGGTACCGTTGCGGGCATCAGCAATATGTCCTGCAGCTGGTAGTGGCTGGTGCTGATTCTAGTTATCTTAGCACATCTACAACCGCATTACCAGCCGAATACGTGTGAGGTACCAGTACTAGGAACTTGTCTACTGACAGGGCAGTGACAGAAGTGACAAAAACATATTATCTACAGTAAATCAGTTCTTTGGGGGGTTAATGATGTGTAAGCAAACGACCCGGGGTCATTGCTTCCAGGGCAGTGACAGAAGTGACAAAAACATATTATCTACAGTAAATCAGTTCTTTGGGGGGGTTAATGATGTGTAAGCAAACGACCCGGGGTCGTTGCTTCCAGGGAGGTTGTTGATTAGAATTATCCGGGTTGTTGTGGTCTCAAGCAAAAATCCATCTGACCATTTCAAGAAGATTAGGAGCCAGACTCATATACCCATCTTAAAGTCATTTCTAAAGCATCTTACAGGAATTTAGACAAAATATAAATGCTATCAAGGAATAATCTGAGTCATGATTACTACAGCACTGATCCACCCGGGAGATGAATCTTTGTCTCTGGGACCCGGCAAGAGGCCAAATGTCCAGGCCATGGTTGCAATTTTCCCGCTACCTTGGGTAGTGGGTTTTGAGAGTGAGTCTGTAATCAACACGCCCGCCATTTTTGCAAGATCTGTCGAAGATCTGACCTACCCTAAATACATGACATATAAGATTCGCACGATCAGACTTGCCTTCGCACACTTAGGCCTCGCTTCACACGCTCTGGGCCTCTCTGGCAGGCTCACCGTAAGATATACTGTACACTGTATGTACTCGACAAAATGGAGCATGAGTCAAAACGTACTGTTGCACATCAAGGTCTGCTTGCCCACCGTAGGTTGGATCAGGTAGATCCCGGAGGTATGGCGAGGTCGGACATAAAATGTCCTGAATCATATTTCTCGCTTAGGCCTTATACCGCGATGAAGCACAGAGACCTTGAATTCTATAAATTGAAAGCTCGCCCAGCATATAAATAAATGAGTTCATGGCCAAGGTAGCGGGTCCTGCCACACAAGTGTGGCCTTACAGCCTTATCCATGTAATACGGTAGCGGGCTCTCGCGCGGCCTTACAACCTTATCGAGCTCGCCACGTGCGCCAGCCACGCGTGACGTCAGTGCATGCGGGTCGTACTCCAAGCCACTCGTCTTCTCCTTGCACACTCTGTACTGCCGCCTAATTCCTGTCCGTATCCCAAACTAAAAGGACTCGACAGCGCAACGACTAAGAAGGACGAGAACTGAACACAAGAAGCAGGACAGAGATGACCTCGGCGTTTGCGCAGAGCTACGGGCGGAAGCTGTTCTCGAAGCACCTGGAGCAGTACCAGCCCGCGGACCCGCTCTACGAGTACTACACCACCGCCAAGGGCAAGCAGAAGCGGCGCAAGGTATGTCCAGCCGCTTTCCCTCCCTTCGTCCACGAACTGACGCAATCGCAGCGCGCGGCGCCGCCCGGGCTGTCCGCGCGCGACGCGAAGATCCTCAAGTCCGTGCAGCGCCGCGCGCACTACCTCGACAAGGGCTTCCGGGTGTGCGGGATGCGCTTCGGGTGGACGTTCGTCATCGGCATCGTGCCCGGCGCGGGCGACGTCGCGGACGCCGCGCTGAACTACGTGCTCGTCGTGCGCAAGGCGCAGGAGGCCGAGTGCGTGGCTGGTTCATTCTCTTCGCGTGCTGGATGTGTGTGCGCTGATGCGCCTGCGCGCCCGCGCTAGGATCCCCGACTGGCTGCGCACGCGCATGCTGCTGAACAACGCGGCGTCGATCGGGCTCGGGCTCGTCCCCATCGCGGGCGACATTGCGCTCGCGGCGTTCAAGGCCAACTCGCGCAACGCTGCGTTGCTGGAGGAGTTCTTGCGCATTCGCGGGGAAGAGTTCCTGAAGGTGAAGGCGGAGCGCGAGGGAGGGGGGCAGGGGGAGGGGCCGAAGATGAGTGAGCGGGATCGGAGGGTGGTGAAGCCCGGTGCCGGCGCGGGGAAGGGCGAGGGGATGGCGGCGGGGGAGGTGGCGGATCAGGTGAAAGGGAAAGGGAAGGGGAAGAGTAAGAGCACGAAGACGCAAGGACAGGCGGAGGGCCGCTTCGTGGAGAACGTCGAGAGCGGGGCGAGTTCGCCCGGCCGGCCGGTTGCTGCGAGTGGGAGTGGCGCGGGGCCGGAGAGGAAGAAGAGTTGGTGGAGGAAGTGATCGAGGAGATACTGCTTGGTTTGGTTCGCTTGGTTGTTTACGTACCCTTTGTTTCTGAGTTGTGCGGATACTGTACTTGGTGCGGACAGTTTGCTGTAGATACCCGGTGGTGCATTGAACATAGTTGTGAGGCGAGAGAACTCATCGCGTCCGAGTCGGAAGTGCTGTTATGGAAGGTGGATTGCCACATTGGGTGAATGCCACAGTGGCGTGACTTGGGCCAGCCGTCTCAGAGCGTCCTCATCCTCACTAGTCGTCTTAATTAGGAAACACATCTATAAATAAGTTGCATTATATAAGCCCTATGAGGATTGAGGACGCGGAGACGGATGGTTCTAGGAGCCTGGGGTAACATACTATCATTGAGGGGGTTCTGCAAAAAGTATCGAATTCGGCCTGTAGCATTCCGCACACTTGACGGATTTTTACCGGATCTTCCGCATATTGTGTGTAACGTAGTGATGAACGTCCTCATTATTTTTGTGCATTTTTATGCAGCCTGTGGAACGTAGGAGAGAGATGCCGGTTCATGTAGGGGGTTCTGCAAAAAGGCGTCACATGCGGTCACAGTGGGATCTCGCCGCGAGCGATGTCACGCTTTTGTCACGATATGGGCCCGGGCAGAAAGTCGACCCCACTGGGAGGTCACACCGCCGAACGCGTTCGATGCAAATGCGAACGTGAGAACCACACCACGGTGCACGTCGATTCTGTGGCTCTGTCCACCGGCCACAGACGCGTACCCCTCTTGCTTATGATAAAATCTGCATAGCCTGAGGGTTTTAACTTGTAAGTTTATTGTATCAGTCTGTGAGATGAAATTGCTGGGTAATTGTAAAAAAGTGTGGTGATTAATCGAAGCTGTCTGTCCAATTGGGGTCACACGAACCCACTGAAGCCCCTTCCGTGCCCTCCCCCTAACGGTTTCCATGGTCAATACTACTGGCATTGCATTGGAAATGTGATGCCTCCACAGATGCCCTGTACACATATAATTAGTCATTGGGCATGGACAACTTGAAATTCATGGAAATTACTCTACTCACGTCATCAATATCCCTGGTATGGTACAATAATATGTGCATAACAAACTGTATTTTATGGATTGAAAGCATAGCCGCCATTGCCTTTCTCGCTCAATAACAGTTGCGGTATGGCGATTCCCTAGGCTCAGGTGGCGTGGCATCCCCTCACGTGCCCAGACATTCGCCGAACACATTCGCGAACGCGTTCGGCGGGCGAACCTCCCAGTCGCCTGGACGTTCTCGGCCCGGGAGATGTGCAAAGTTGCCTCTCTATCTCGACACGCTCGTTATTTACTCTATCGGGCTGGTGTATTGTACTATAGACAGCATATTCATGATACACCAAGCCATTCCACTGCAGTCCGTTGAGAGCATCACGAGAGATCTAGTGGACACTGTTTCTTTCCCATGGCCTACAGGACCCATTTTCTCTCCCTCTCTTCAACCACAGCAGATATTCCCATTCTGACTTGGCAGAGGTTCTATTCTAGTGTATATATACCTGCCTGAGCTTACCCAACATTTTTTGGTTGAGTGTGGAATGAGATATAAGGGGGTGAGGGGGTTCTGCAAAATTTGCAGAACCCCCTCAATGATAGTACGCAGCCATGAAGGTGGGATATTAGGGTCATCACTTTGGACTTGGAGCTTGAAGTAAAGTGGCACTCATACTTCAAGCTTCGGTATGCCGTCGGACGTTTACTCCCCCATTGTGTCTTCCACTACTAGACTCTAGTACGCGACATTCATATCGGCTTTGAGCTTCATCTGCTATACGAGGTAGGTATATCTACGCGAGACATTCAAAGGTAGTACTCCAAGTTGTACTTGCATCGACGTAGACCCCGCAATTCACAGGTGGGGAGCGGGAGCATATGCTCCAGCTGCTTATCAGCGGCCACCGACGAGAACGTCCTGCTAAGCAGCCAAGGTACGGTCTCGAGGCACCCACGTCCGGTCACGAGAACAACAACAAGGAACCCTGATTGCCAAAGCCAAAATCTGATTTTTACACGAGATCTGTGTGCTGACTCCTTGCGGTATCCCTTCGACGTCCCACTGCGGATGCAACTGCCCCCGTCATCCCGAGGCTGCACACTGCCGAATGCGCTCGAGCGCTGCGTTTGATGGCAGCCCATCGCTGGAAGGAGCAACGCCGCTCGGGACCGAGGCATCGCGAAGCGCGAAGCTCGGCATCACAAGGTGGCGCGAAGAATGCTCACTGGGCAGCAGGCGCTGGTGGATCGTATGGTATGCACGGCGACCGTCCACACCCAGGTTAATTATATCCCTCAAGTCAGCCACCAGCCATGATCGTCTGTTGGTATAAAGCCCGGCGGGGGACGCGATGCTTGTTGCGCAAGTACTGTCAGCTATCCTTGAAGTAGGCGTTCAGTGGCAAGCAAGATGAAGATGAGGATACCGACGATACTCGGTGTCGTCCTCGGACTTGCCGTTCGGGGTCATGCGACGCCCACTGGTAATAAAAGTATGTTATAGTTTATATTCGCTTTCGCTCACGATCTCACCCTGCACCTCAATGCAGCTGTCATTGTTCAGATGTTCGAATGGAACTGGCACGTATCCAGTTTGTATATTTGCTTGGTGCAAAAGAGGCGGCTGACACGGCGTATAGGGACAGTCTCGCGGCGGAGTGCACGAACTTCCTAGGACCCGCCGGTACGCGCTGGCTTCACGATCTACATTAATAGATCTATTCACGCGTCAACCTTCTCAAGGTTATGGCTTCGTCCAAGGTGCATTTCCCACCCGTCCCAGTCCGTCCTGCGCCTGAAACTGACATACACACAGCGAGCCCCGCACAGGAGCACATCACCGGGAGTCAGTGGTGGACCGACTACCAGCCCGTCTCGTACACCCTCACCAGCAAGCGCGGGAACAGGCAGCAGTACCAGAACATGGTCACTACGTGCCATGCCGCGGGCGTGCGCGTCATAGCCGGTCAGTATTTTCACCCTCCGTTCATCTCCTTTCACCCGCTCTCGATTCTACCGTGTGCATGCGCTGATCTTGGAGGGTATGCGCAGACACCATATTCAACCACATGTCCGGCTCGGACTCTGGTGAGTTCCCATGCCATTTCATGCGTAACCAAGAGGGACGTTGTTGACTCACGCACGCGGTAGGCACCGGAACCGCTGGCACCAGTACGTCCGCCTCGATCCACGGCCCTTGTCCGCACTAAACGAGCATCCAGGTTTCACACATTACAACTACCCCGGGACATACGAGTACCAGGTAATCTCCCCTCCCCTCCCTTGCTCTCCCCCCCCCAAAACTGTCCATCGTTGTGCACACATAAATCGAAGAAGAATTAGCCGCTGACCTGCTGACAGGACTTCCACCACGACTGCGGTGAGGCGGACGGGAATATCGACAACTACGATAACCGTACCGAGGTGCAGGTGTGCCAGCTTGACGGTCTAGCCGAGTGCGTTCTTGTCCCCTGCTCGCTCACCCTCATACTCTTTCCCCATTCCATCTCTCCTCCACTCATGCCCCCTGCCCCCTTCCTCCGCTCCCAACCCTATCTCCTTTGCCGTACCCCGTCTGTCCTCTAACCTCCCGCCCCGTCCTTCCGTCGACCGTATGCTGAGAGCGGCTTGAAACAGTCTAGATACGGAATCCGAGGACGTGCGCAGCACGCTCGCCGCGTACGGGAACGACCTCATCGGTCTCGGCGTCGACGGGCTGCGGCTCGACGCTGCTAAACGTGCGTCCCCTTCCCTCCCTCCTAGTTCCTCCTTTTCCTCTGCGCGTCCCGTCCCCTGTTCCTCCCGTTTGTCCTCCTTGTGACCCCTCCACCCTTGCTCTCCCTGTCGTCTTTCTACTAGTACACCTCCGTCCTCCAGCACAGAGCACGGAACGCTGACCGTTGTTCTCAGACATTGCTGCCACCTCCCTCGCCAACATCACCAGCCGGCTCACCGGGTCGCCCTACATCACCTCCGAGACCATCTGGGGATCGGGCGAGCCCATCCAGCCGAGCGAGTATGTCGGTATTGGCGATGCGCAGGAGTGAGTGTCCCGTGCCTTCAGTTGTTTCCCTCCTTATTTCCACCCACCCGCCCATGCCTCGAGTGACGAGCGAGAGCATGATGTACTCATGTTTCCGCGGTTAGGTTCCGCTACACTACCGCGCTGAAGAACGCGTTCACGGGCGGCGGAATTTCTAGCTTGGAAGACCTCGACGACCAGGGTACATTTCCTCCCTATGTATATGCGTTGATTCTGCGTACAATGCTAATCGTGCTGTACGACAGGATGGGTCGCGTCCAACAAGGCGAACGTGTTCGTCGCGAACCACGACACAGAGCGCGTGCGTACCCTGCCTCCCCCGTTCCTTTCCTAGCATTCAGCAATACTCATATTACGGTCGACTACATGCAGAATGGAAACTCGTTGAATTACAACTCGGGGAACAACGCTTACGTCCTCGCTACTATTTTCTCGCTGTGCGTTCTCCTTCCCACCTCCTTTTGCTGAGGGGTTGACGCCGCTATACATAGGGCGCACCCGTACGGCACGCCGACCGTTCTCTCGAGCTACTCTTTCTCCACCACGGACGACGGCTCCCCCAACAGCGGCGCGGGGACGTGCTCCGGTACTGGCGGCGCGAACGGCTGGTAAGCACTTTGCATTCGGCATTAACAACTGGGTCGCGGGGACGCTGACTGGCGTGGATAGGCTCTGCCAACACCGCTGGATCGCCTTCTCCGGCATGACTGGGTTCAGGAACAACGTCGGCTCTGCGGCGCTCACGAACTGGGTGTCGCCTGGCTCGAACCAGATTGCTTTTGGCAGAGGTGCGTTCTCCTCTCTTCCCGGTCCCCATCCTTCCGCTATTCAGAATTGTGAATTGTGGCTGATGCTGTATGATGGGAAGGCTCGGCAGGCTTCGTGGTCATTAATAACCAGGCGTCGAGCTGGACGGGCACCTTCGCCACTTCTTTGCCCGCGGGGACGTACTGCGACGTCGTGCACGGGAACTCGTCGGGCGGGGTGTGCTCGGCCTCTGCGTGAGTCGACCTTCTGCCCTGTCCATCCATCCATCCACCTGAATGCATGGATGCTAGTATTACCGTCGCGTCGGACGGCACGTTCTCCGCGACGGTGAACCCGTACGACGCGCTGGCGATACATACCGGCTCGAAAGGCACGGGGTCGAGTGTTACGACTGTGGCAGTTACGTTTGACGAAACGGCGACGACGACCTACGGAGAGGTGCGCTTTCCCTGGCCGTGTGTACAGAGAGTCGCTGAACTGACCTGGGCGACCGATCAGAACATCTTCGTCACCGGGAGCATCTCGCAGCTGGGCTCGTGGAGCACTACGAACGCGGTGCGTCCTCACCGTCCGATGTCGTCAGTTTGTTAACCATCACCGTGATGTGCTGTCCAGATCGCGCTCAGCTCGGCGAACTACCCCACCTGGTCGGTAACGCTCAACTTGCCCGCGGGCACCACTTTCCAGTACAAGTATATCCGCAAGGAGACCGACGGAAGTGTACGTCCATCTCCTCCTCGCTCTGTGCCCGCATATTGATGGTAATTTATGCACAGGTTGTGTGGGAGTCGGACCCGAACAGGAGCGCGAGCACGGGTTCCTCGGGGAGTTTGACGTTGAGCGATACGTGGAGATAGTTGCGGCGGCGGCGGTGGGTATATCGATAGGGTGTATTTATCGGTGCGACTCGGAAATGGATATGGATGTACTCAGTGCATAACCAAAGATGCTTTGAATGTATGCTGTATATCAGCCAGCTTTTGTAACGACGAATTCGCCATGTCCAAGTGTCCGACATAGCGAAGCGATATGCACAAGGGACGCTGCCGAAAGCGCACAGTTGTCCACAAGACCAACAGAACATACCGACCCTCCTGCTCATACCGGGACCTTCCAGCCCCCAGCCAAACCCATCACGTCCCTAGGATCATACCGCCCCTTGACGCCCCTCAGCCTCGGGAGACTCTGGCCGAATATATCCTCCACCGGCGTGGTGAACAGCGCATAATTGCCGTACAGCGGCGCATCCCTGACGTCCTGCCCGAGCGACACCGCCTGGCATCGGACATTCACGATTCATGGCTCACATCCAAGCGTATTGGATATACATACAAACGCACCTTCGCCTTGACGTTATCCGCGCTCTGCATCATCGCTGCCCACAAGCGCGCGTCGGCGGCGGCGTCCGTCCACGACCGGCAGAGGCTGAGCGGGAGGAGCGCGCGCGCGCGCGCGGGCGGATACGCGGCCGTGCGCGTGCTCCCGCGCGCGAAGAGCGAGGGCAGGAAGGGCTCCACGGCGAACGACACGAGGACGCCCGACGCCGCGGACAGCGCGGGGCCCCAGTACTACAGCAGCAACAGCGGGGTGCGGTGAGCGAGCGCGGGGCGGAGGAAGAGGACGGGCGGCGCACGGCGGTCTCGTCCGCGATGGTGGTCAGCATGGCGGCGGAGTAGTCGAGGAGCGAGACGGTGTGGTAGGAGGACCCCTGAAAATACCGATAGATGCCGGTGCAGGACTTGATTTTGTCATGTCCGGACTTTTTTTGGCGGCCCCCCGCCTTTATGTCCGGATAAAATACCGGCATCGGTCAAGGTCGGATCCATGTCCGGACTATTGCCCCGGCCTCTAGGAAACAGCAAAAAGCACCCGTTGTAGTCCACAAGTCATTCTAGACACTACAGTCGACTCTGTCTCAACCCATAACGGGTCGTGGAACCCAAAAGTTATGGGTTTCTGCAGACTATGGGTTACCAGAATGTGTGACATTGTGTGACTACCTAGTACACGTGACAGACAGCCTATCCGGTATAGGCCGGACGTCGTTTATGACACCGTTTAGATACGGAATCTTGAGTCTGGTATGGGTTATCTTCTGAAATACCACGAGAACCAAAAATTAAGGGTTCAGATGGTCCAGATTCTCGTGAGAAGGAAGACCTGTACCTTCCTAATATAGGTTGTTTTATGGGTTATGACCCTTCAGAAAGCTATGGGTTATGGGATACGGCAGACTTATGGGTTTTTACTATCTACCATGTCGGTGGAAGCCAAAAACCTATGGGTTATTACAGGTTATGGGTTATGACAGGTATGGGTTAAGACAGAGTCGACTGTAGATACAAGGGTGTATGTATGAAAATCTGAAATGTGCATAGTCTGAGGTAG